TTGAATTTGATTACAGGAGTATTGAAGCCAAGTTCATCATGTTACAACGGAGCGGAAATTTGCTACACATTACTATATAGTTGTTTTGAAGCATTTTCGACATATGTTCTGATAAACTGCCTATGTAACTTTCATAGGCCCTAATCAAAATCACTACAGTTCGGCAGAGAAGTAGTGTCGCTGCAAATATTTAGAGACCTAACGAATTACAGATATCTCCTAAGATCTCATCAGCATCGCTCTGTACTTGGTGCCATTCTTCATTACAAGTCCGCATTTGGCGGCTGCGGAGAGTGCATTCAACGGGTTGGCAAAAAAAACTTTAATCCTATGCACTGGCAATAGGTTTACGAACTTGATTCTGTCACTGAGGTATCTAAGAAAGCTTGCGTAATCCATAGTATGACAACCAATAGGATTTCGGTACTTGATACTGGCAATAATACGAAGGACTCAAAGTTCAAAACTCTTATGCAGAAAGAAAAAATTCAAATTATGCATGATATCTGTCAGTGTCGTATGAGGACTTTTCCCCAAGGACAACCGCGCTGCTGTAGAACAAGGAACCATCTTCCAGACAAAACAAAATTAACAAATAAAACTTACAGCATCCTCTCTTTTCTCGTCTTCTGTACGATAGTCCACCTCCTCCGTTTCTTCGACGACATTACTTTCCTGCTCCTTCTCCTCATTTCTCTTTTGTCTAAATATTGGCTCACCATCAAATTTTCCACTGCCTCTTCCATTTTCGTTTTCATCCTCGCTGCTGTCCGAATCCTGAAACAGTCAATAAAGTTTCAAAACCACTAGATCAATCCTCGAAAAAGTTCAAGAACATACAAAGTTCTAGGAATTCCGAGCGCTCTGATTTGATGTTAAACCTGCAGTAAATAGCCCGAAATCAGCTTTCAAGCCTTACTTTCCCTGTTCTATTAGCGATTTAACAACAAAGGCAGTGTTAAATGAATATTTTGAGACAGAAATTTAAAAATTACAAATTTTCCTAATCCCTTGGCGGCACGCCGTGCTTTTGCAGCCTCTTCGGCAGCTTTCATTTTTGCTTCTCTTATCAGCCTTTTTTGCTTTTCTTGCTCAGCCTTTTCCAAGCCTTCTCGGATCCAAGCCGGCAATGCTTTTCGCGTTTGATGATCTGGAAATATTATTCCAATCAAATACTCAAAGTCTGATGGTACGTACAGAAAACTCTGCGGGCATTTAAAGAAAAACTTGCTCGAGATCAGTTTTTCGGTCCGCCGAAAAACTGACGGAGACTTCTTATAGGAAACGCAGTTTTCAAATTTTACAGCAGATGACACGCCCAAAAAAGTGAAGTTATAATGACGCAATAAAATTGTAAATTAATACGTCTGCTGTGTTGTTCTGAACAAATCTAAAGCTTCGAGAAACCATTTTGCAAAGAAAGGTTCCTTTCCAAGATGAATTCATCGCCAAACTACTTCAAAAAACTGTTAAACTAACCAATGAAATTATTAGCCGAGGGAGAATGACGATGAGAATGGCGACCCCAGTTAGGCGGTGGAGCCCATCCTGGAGGACCTGGTGCAAGCCAGTGAGCCATCGCGCCTTCTGGAATTATTTCAGAATCTTCTGCATCAACTTCACGATGGCCTCTTCTCTGTTTCTCTTCCCACTCTTTGTAGTAATGTGAATACTGCAAAAAACCATAAATAAGGTACTGAATATAATTATGGCTAATGTAGAGGGAACTGTAACAAGTTGGAGGGGAAAAAGGCAGAGGAGAGATGCTCTCTGCCCCTGTGAGGCGAAGGGTGAATGCAGTTCTGTTTCCCAAATTAGCATTAAATCGGCACATCCTATGCCCACTACTCTCATTTTTATTATAATCATTGGCGACGCGCACCTGCCGCCCCCGTGCGATCATGCGTTTTTGCAGTGTTTCGTGCTGCAGTGAGATCGTTCGGAAACCCAGCAGCTAGAATTGTGTGACATACCGGCCCTCGAATTTTGGAAAGTCGGTTATCTACTCTGGACTTTGACAGGGAACATTTCCTAAAAATTCCAGCTTCCCAGCTTTCCAGTTCCCGAGTTACCCAAATTCCCGCCAAAAACTTTCACAGGGCCATACGTGGCAACCACGCATGCCCCGAGGGTGATTTTGATAAATTCGAACTGTACATGAGTTTAGAACATTCTCTGAAAATTTCAGCCTCCCAGCTTTCCTGGTTCCGGTGTTAGCCATTGTCCCGCCAAAAATTCGGCCGCACGTGGTAACCATGCATAACTGGAGGCTGAGTTTGATAAATTTAAGTTGTATCTAAACTGGGAACATCTCCTTAAAGTTTCAGCTTTTTAGCTTCCTTGGATCCCAAGTTAGCGATTTTCCCACCAGCAACCTTCTCGGGGTCGTGCGTGAAAACCACGCATGCCTGGAGGTTGAATTTGAAATCTTTGTGTGCTATGTGGACGAGAAATATAACTGCAGAGTTTCAGCTTTCTAGCTTCTGTGGCTCGCAAGTTGGCGATTTTCCCATCAAATTTTTGAGGGGCTCGTAACGGGGCCTAAACGCGCATGAAGGTCGACACCGCGGTCCTGGGCTGGCACTTGGTCGGGGAACCCATTGGCAAAATTTTGGCACCGGAACTTGCTTGGGTGCCGAGTTGAAATATCCGAACAGACGCATACATACATACATAAATACATACATACGTACATACATACATAAATACATACATACATATATACATACATACATACATACATATATACATAACAAACATACATACATACATACATACATACATACATACATACATACATACATACATACATACACACACATACATACATACATACATACATACATACATACATACATACATACATACATACATACATACACACATATCGGGGTCGTCACAATATGCATTTTAGCATTTGCATATATACAAAAACGCATAACAAGAAGGTATATTATGTTAAAAACGGATGAAAAGAGATGAACAGAATTTACCCATTACTGAAAAAAGTACTTTTCCACTTTTACTGCTAGAAAGATGTTTCACTTTTTGCAGCCTCTTCCATCCCTTCCAGTCTCTCCCTCTCCCAAAGTTCTGTCAGAAATTTTAATATAATCCAGTGGAGATTTAAAAAAAAGAGTCCCTATTAGCAAGGTATAAACACTTACCTCTCCTCCTTCTTCCTCATCCTCGCCTTCAGCACCATCCACTCTTGCAGCACCGCTTGAAGCCGGGTCAAGTGGAAAGCTGCCAGGGGGTGCAGGAGATGCACCCATCCATGGTGGGGGAGGTGGCAGGAACGGAGGAAACGGTCCACTCGGCGGACCAAAACTGTTTGGCAGAGGCGGTAACCATCCCGGCGGTGCGCCCATATAATTTCCATCTAAAAATGCATTTATTAAAATACAGTAACAATCAATGCCTGCAGCACACGCTTTAACAGGCCCCATGCATTCTTCATTCCATCGCTCTTCTCTCACCTCGTCCTCTATCCCTGTCTCTACTGTCTGTCCCCCCCCCCCCCCCCCCCCCCCCCCCCCCCCCCCCTCTCCCCCCCCCCCCCCCCCCCCCCCCCCC